CTCATTTTCTCCTTTTTCTGTTTTCTCTAAAGCATTTTTTGCGACCTAACATCAATCTATCTTGCTAACATGAGATTGCCCACTCATATCTCATTTTCACTTATCTAACACTTCACATTCTTTCATGCTAATATCCAAAGCATCTCTCAAAATTTGCACAGAGACATCAGAGTTGAGTTTTCATATTAGTATTCAAAACAGATCTGAGAGAGTTGGTGTTCCCAGAACGAACCAGCAAGATTTTGTCTATTGAAACCAGCTGAGTATCAGTAAGAGGAGAAATTAATTCAGGGTTGCTCAGCACTGGGCAGAATCAGCCTTCTAAGGTGGAAATTCTGACTTAACTGTTTTAACGACTGCTTCCTCTCCCCGATGTCATTGCAGTGTTGGCTGAAGTAGGACAGTGCAAAATAATTGCAATTTACATTTGATCACACTTTTTGCAAAATTTTGCCATTGTTTATTTAGATGATGGTCAATTTCCCCACCACCTTTGCTATGAATTGGCTAAGGCAATTTGTGTTGCAAGGACCTGCGTGATTAGGCATACTTGAAAGTATGTTTCCAGTCTGAACATCGGGTGTCATAAATGAGATCCAGCTGAAACTAAGAATAGTTACTGTCTATTGTAAATTAAGTGTATTCTAGATGACACATGAAATCTGGCCAATTGTTTGGTTTCTTACAGTGTGGTTCCTCTAGCTAAAGGAAGACATTTAATCTGAAATATTTTAATGTGACCTTTGAATCTTAATAGTTAGTGCTTTATAGGAAGCAATTTCTGTATTCTGTATATAAATGGGCTTTTATCAACTGTATAAGGAGTTTCAGAAATACATTTTTTGTGTTTTCGTAACATTGTCAAACATTAAAATCATTCTTTTGCATCTGCCTGAAAGTAAATTGGCAATATAAGCTTGTAGGAGCATGGTGGTGGTAGGAGTTTATTTCCCCTTAACTGCATGTGATGACAGTGGAATTATCTCTGTCCTTGGATCAGTTTAGTACAAATTCTCCCCTCCATGGGGTTACTAGTACCTTGGGTTGACTCTCATTTTCTTCTCTGGCCCTTAGGCTGCTCGCCATCTAAAGAGAAAACAGATGTAAAAAAAAGCCATAAAGCTAGCAGTGTTCAAGTGCTAGTTCTGTATAGGCAAGGCAATGGGTCTGCTGTCTGATTTTAAATGCCACTGCTCCTCAGCCATATGCATTGGATTTCTCAAGGATGAGTGTTAAGAAGCCAAACAAAACCATGGATCCAGGCTGACATGGAGTAGGGTAGGGGTAAGTGTCCCTGGTGCATCCATAGCAGCCATGTTTGTCTCTGCTTTCCCCAGGCAGCTTGCTCTTGAGCTGGACCTGTGTCTTTTCTCCCCCGTTCTGGATACGCTTCTCCCAGCCCTCAGCATGTTTGTTTTCCTACCTGTCAACAACCAGCACCATGGAGAGAAAAAGGTGCACTTTCCCCACCTGGGAGATCAACCTCTCATGTTCTAGATTGCCACTTAGATCTTCAAGTAAGAATGGTAGAAATCTTGTGGGAGGCTGCTTCCTGAAAGGAGTGGCAGCAAAAGCTACCTAGTTCAGTGGTAGGAAGTAGGGTATTTCTAATAATTTCTAATAAAACAGGGTGTTTCTGATAAAACATGACCCCTGCTGATGGTGTCAGCTAAACCCTAGATGTTTTGTCCCCTTGGTCCTTATTTGCCTGGAGCTCTAGGTGTGAACAGGGCTTCTCACAGCCTACTCTCAATCTGAACTAACAATAGCAAGAGCAGTGCCAAATCCAGTGGCAGTCATCTGTGTACCTTTCTGGGATGCAGCCTGGCACCTTTAGTTGCAAGATCATGGTTTTCAACTCCTAAGGACCACCTCTCCTTTCACTGCATCTTCTTGGACTTTATCCAGCACAGAAACACTGTTTGTAAGTGTTTCTACCAAAAAGCATAAAGATGCTTACAAATACATAGTAAGAGACAGGAATGTAGAGACATTGGTCCTCTGGGGACATTTCCACAAAGAAAAAGAGTGTTCTGTCTTCTGTTCATACAGTATTTTAAAGTATTTCTGCCTCTTTCCTGTGAGTTTAGGGGGAAAAAAAAAAAAAATTATTTACTTCAGTGAGTATTGGTTTAGGATTGACTGAAATCTGATAAAAAATAATAAAAATAAAATGTCTAGGTATATCATCTCTTCCCTAGGAGTGATGGCACACCAGGGCACTTAGAAGACACAAATGTCTTCAGAGGTTCCCTCTCTGGCATTTGGTACTTTGGCCTGCCTTTCCCATCTTCAAATCTTCACTTTCTTCTATAAGAGCTCTGAGCATTTCTGTTTTCTTCCTGAGATTTACAGAACATGAGACTTATTTTCTGTGTAAGTAGGCAATGAAGTTAATGCTATTTCTACACCTTTGTTCCAGGCAAGGGGAGGGGGGGTGATGACTTCCTTTTCTAAAACACTTTGTTTTTCCTGTTTTACCTGAAGCTTTGAAAGACTTTGACCACAAGATTTCAAGCCTGTGGACCCTTAGATACAATAAACCTGGGTGAATTTGGAGGAGATGTTGCCTGTTGTAGCAAAGAAAAAAACAACAACAAAAAAGATAAAACCTTGTGTCTCATGTTCTAAGAGTAATTTTTCATAATTATTAATGGCAAATGGGTGCATATTATATAATAGTGTAATAGCAAACTCTGTTTCTTTAAGTGCCAAGGTATTTTATAAAAGTTTGGCAGAGGAGTCCACAACTGAAAAATAATCTGGTCAAATTATTCAGATGCTGGCATTTGCACACAATTGAGGTGTGCTTTTTGTACCACACAGCGCTGCTGGCTCCTTGTCCAAAGAATGAACCACAATTACACCGCGTCTGAAATTACCATATGTAGCTCCATGCCTAGAACTTTACATCCTCTTCAGGCAACTTCCCAAGGAAGGCCTGGGAAAAGACCAAAGCCTCTGGGAAGGTTACACTTTTTTTGGCACAGCTTTCCCGAGTGGGACGAGGCTGGTGAAAACCCCGTGGGCATCCATGTATGAATGCCACTCCCTCTGCCATGTTTCGGAGGGGACTTGCCGGAGCCCTGGCCCTCCTTCCCCCGGGGTGGGCAGCCTGCAGGCGGGAGGGCAGGCGGCAGGGTCCAGGACGGCGAGCCTGGAGGCTGGGATGGATGATGTGTGAATGGATGCTCCGCGCTCGCCGCGCCGGACGAGCTCTGCCGAACACCTGTCCTCGGGCCGCAGCCCGAGAGGCTGAACTGGGCTCCCGCCCGCCTGGAGGGTCGGGAGAAAAAACGAAAAGCTCGTTCACAGAATTACAGACTATTCTGGGTTGGGAAGGGAGCCACAACCATCACTGAGTCTGACTGGTCCCACCCGCCCTGCCCCAGATGGGTTTGCTCCGAGATACCAAACATCCTCTCTGACGGTGCTCGCTCTTCATTTGTCCCCCAAAGAGCTAAAAAACAGCCGAGGGGTTTTTTGTTGGTTTTTTTGTTTGGTTGGTTTTGGGGTTGTTTTTTTTTTGTTTTGTTTTGGGTTTGTTGGTTAGTTTGTTGGTTGATTGGTTGGTTGGTTTTGGTTTGTTTTTTGTTTTTTGGTTTTTTTTTTGAGAGGAGATTGATTCTCCATCCCTGCTTCTATTTTAAAGAAATGGGTCTGGCTCTGCTTCGGGACCTGTGCCCTAACCAGAGGAAAACCCTCCCACTTTTAAAAATAGCTCATAAAGTTACACAAAGGAACAGAGATCAGGTGAGCTTTCTTTTTGCTCTTTAAGTGTTGTTTCCAATAAGGAAAGAAACGATTCGGGTATATTTAATTTGTGTGTGTGTGTGCTTAAATAATGAATATATGCAAAAAGTCCTGTTATCCGACTGGCATCATTATGTTGTGTGTAACCGTATTTATTTATGCAGACACACACACAAAAATTGAAAGCAACGAACAAAGTTGAAATAAATAACACCACCTAGGTATTGCTGCACACAGAATCATTAAATAGTCGAACACGAGGAGTGACTTATTTTTAAGCCAATGTTTTTCATGTTTTATTACTGAATAGTAGCAGATATTTCATCATGCATAAGTGGTATGAGCATTGAGTAGATGATAGAAATTACATAGGAAAAACAGAAAACAAAACCCGAAAGTTTGCAACGATCCAGATTTATAACCAAATGCAGTCGTTTGCTGTTGTTTCCAAATATCTGGTTTAGAGACCCAGAAAGATGTCTAAAAGGAAGAAGCTTGTTTTCCATATCTTCAGAGCAAATGGGGTCTCCAAATGGAGAAAAAGATGCAGTAACTAATTGATTGCCAGCTGTTTTCTCACACGAATTTCTGTGAATAGAGCTACACAAAATGTTTGTAGTTCCCAAACTGTAATGTTGATCAGCATTAAATTCTTTACCATTCATTCACTGTTATATCTCGGTGTTAAAACTGTGTGTTGAGTGGGCTGGTGAGGGGAGAAGATTTGGGGAATAATTAAATTTGTCAATGATATAGCTAAAGTGTTTTGTAACTGTTTCAGAGTGTGACAACATAAAAAGATCTCAAGGAATAACTAAAATACAAAGCCTTGCAAACCAGTGAGCAAGCCAGTAAGGGAAGTATAGCATTCTCACTTCTCTAAGCAGCTTTACTGTAAAAAGAAAAAAGGAAAAAAATGGGGGGCGGGAAAGACGAACATTTAATATTTTTTTTTTCCCCCCTAGAGCACAAAAGAACCGTCTACTGGTAGTGCTCTGCCCGCCGGAGAGCATGAGAGGGAGAAGAAGGAGCGCTAATACTGATTGAGTTTTGGATTTTTTTTCCTCTTTTTCTTAGGAAACTGAGCAGCAGAAGCCGGAGCCGGAATGCCCAGGATGCACTGACACAACTGGCAGTCGGATATCGGGAGCGCCGCCAACCGTGGTGACTCAGAGGCAGGATACTCAAGGGGGCGGGGGGCTGCAGGGGACGAGGGGACAAGAACTCAGCGGGACGGCCGGGGCGGGTCAGTGCTCAGCCTCCTCGGCAGCCCCCGCCGCTCCTGGAAGGGGCGGCGGGTCGCGCAGGTATCGCCCCACCGCTCCGTGCGGGCCCCCCGCCGCCACGTCGAGGGGCAGGCGGCCGCGGCCGTCGGGTAGGTGGAGGCGCGCCCCGGCCCGGTGCAGCACAGCCAGGGTCTCCAGAAAGCCGGCGCGGGCCGCGTCGTGAACCGGGAGGCAGCCGGTGCGAGGGTCGGGGCGATTGGGGTCGGCTCCGCGCCGCAGCAGCAGCTCGGCCACCCGCGGGCTGCCCAGCATCATCACCTGCGGGGAGAGACAGCGTCAGCGGCCGCCCCGATCACCGCCGGGAGCCACCGCCGCGGACAGCCTGGGGAGCAGCCGGGGCTGGCGGCGGCCGGACCGGCGTCTCTTTTGGGGCGTAATTCTGCTACGTCGGCCACTTGTCGTCGTGACCTGCATGTATTGTGACAACCGTTTGCGATCTTCCGTATGGGTCCCTTCCAAGCCGAGATAGCCTATGATTAGATGATAAATTAAAAATATTAGCTAGTGGTTTCCAGACTAGGTACAGTACATGTGTATGTTCTGCTTCACGTTTATACCATTGATATACGCCACGGTATAAATGGTACTTGCGGTGTGTGTATAAGTATATTTATGTGCACACAGACGTTTATACACAGATACAAACACAGTTACGTGTGTGTGTGTGTACAGATATATACACACAATATAGATATAGTCTATGTAATGTACCCTTTATTATATAATAAATAGTGCAAGTGTATATATTATAAATACATTTAGACATGTACATATATTAAAAATATATTGACTATATTTATACACAAAAGAATTTGTAAATATTTCTACTGCATATACACACCATGTATTTTGTGACAGCCCTGAGGGACCTTTCATTGAGGTTGCTGTCACTTTGAATGCATTACCGATTTATCAACGGTCAGCACAGCAATGGGGCAATGCAGCTGGCTGTGGCTCTTTTGGCATTCCGTGTGGATATTTCCGACTTTTCCCCTCCTGACGTTGGGATGAAGATGGTTCTTTCTTTTTTTTTCTCTCTTAGCTCTGTCTTATGCTCAGAGGTGTGAGAGCAGCTGCTGAGCACTCATTAGCAATGCACAAAACTTAACTGATGTAAAATTCCGAATGGTATTTTGTGTCTAAATGGCAAATTCCTAATGACATTCTGCTTATCTGCCAGCTGCAGAAACTTTCAGCAATGTTTGATCATACACAACTGAGCAAAACCCACCCAACAATAAACCCAAATCAACCAAAAACCAAAATAAATTTGCACATGGGATTTTACTTCCCTTACTGTCTTGGTCATTTTCAGTGGAATTTTAACTGCCATAAATTGTGACTTAACACTTCGAAAAAGATCTTAAGACTGGGTTTTTCTATCAATTTATTTATTGGGACTTTGATTTGTGCACTTCAAATAATTTGGTTTATTTATAGTAGAAGTGTGAAAATACTTTTAAAGGTCATAATATATAAATTTCCGATATTAATCTTTTCCAGAAAGAAAAAGAGTGTCCACATATTCAAGTGTCAGCCATTTTACAAGTTGCTGACAAGAGAAAGAGAACTTAGTCTGAGATGAGGAAAGAGATAATTTATAAGAGTTTGGAGATTTTTTTCATCTGTAATTTGAATATAAAACTGAAATAAAACGAATAAATTTCTGACAGCCTTTCTCTGAAATATACTTCAGATAAATATTTCTTTTTTTATGTAAAGTGCAAGGACCAAAATGGCTGTTCAGCTTAGCTGATGAATCATTAAATATATCTCTTCAAATGGCAACTTGAAAAATCTTCATGAGATACATCACTCCAGTTTAAATCACAGTTTATTTATGGTTCAATGAATATTTTAAAAGTGTCTACCTAAGTATGTCGATTAATATAACACACTTTTAACTCTCAAACTGCCTGGAAAGCAACTCTACGTACTGGTACTTCTAACATCTATCAATAAGTGCTGCCACTATTAATGGAAACAGAATATTAAAATTACTACTACTAAAAGAAGAAAAGAGGTGGCTACTAATATATACCTAGTTTCAAGTTGCAATTTTTACCAGCACGGTTTCTAGGTTCTTTGTTCATGAATATACAAGAAAGGGACCCCACTTCGATTTCGTTGGGGAAAAAAATACCTGTTTGTGCCATATTTAAAAAATTAATTAATTTGCTCGAAGTGCAGATAATTCCCCAAACCTATCTGGGTCGTTATCTGGAAGCGGATTTTGCAGTCCCACTTCTCATTTTGAGTACCCCCTAGAAAAATTCGTTTGCTGACGTCGGCTTCCCACTAAATTCCATCTTGGATTTTCAGGATTTATTGAACAATAAAAGGTCCATTTGAATTCAGACAGCTGCGGCTGGAGTATGGTTCCGATCATAACAATAAAAATTCATTCTAAACAGGAAATATCCATCCTTCCCCGCCGGCGTGGTAGAGCATAGCTTCGCCCCTGCCCCCCCCACGCAGCTGCCCCCTCTCCCTTTGCGCTCCGTACCTGGAGCGGGGTTCTCCCGAAGGCGTTGGTCCCGTTGGGATCCACGCCTGCGTCCAGGAGCTTCTTCACCTCTTCGTGGTCCCCGCGGGCGGCGGCGCTGCACAGGCGGTCGACGTCGCCTCGGGGGGATCCCTCCATCGCCCCCCACCGACCTGAGCCACACGGCTGCCGCTGGCTTTCCCTATTCCCCAACTGCGATCTGGTCTGACGCAGTTCTTTTTTTCCCTGGGGCAGCGGCCGCCCCCCCCTGTCCGGCCCCCTTGTCCCCTCCCCGCCCCGCGCACTGCTCCGGAGGGGCAGGCGCTGCGGCATCCGCCCTCCCCCGGCTCCCCGCGGCTGCGGTAAAACCCGCGCACCCTCCCGGGGCGGGGCGGGGGGGCACCGGCAGAGCGGCGAAGGACCGGGGGATGCCAGCCTGGTCCTCAAGCACGGCATGTCGGAGGGCAGGGCTTTCGCGGCGTTTTCCTCTCACCGGGGAGAGGGGGTGGGGGCAGCAGCCTTGTGCCCCGAACCTCTCCCCATACCCGGGCGAAGACAGGGGAGCGGGGCGCAGACCCACGGACAACCAGCTTCCACGGCTGCTGCCTCGGCCGGGGCAGGTGGGACGCGCCACGCGAGTATCTAACGCGGGGGCTCGACGATAAGACGAAGGGGCGACGGACCTGAGCTTTCCCAGGATAGAGAGGGACTTTCTGTGCGAGTGATGGCTCTCATTTCTGCCTCCGAAAGGGGTCCTGCCCTGCCCGGGCATCTCCGAGCTGTGGGTCGGGGGTCCATCCTTCCATCCGGCGTCTGCCGGGAGCTGGAGGACTCGACGGAAGGGAGGGAGCCGTGCCCGCAGCAAGTCTGTGACCAACCTAATGGCACCGGATAGAAGAGGATCGCTTCAGCCTGGTCCTGCCACAGCCTCCCGGGAACACAAAAACGGCGGCTAGAGCCCGCCAGGGTAAGGTGCAGCTCCAGCCGCGCAGCCGGAGGCTAGACGGAAGAATATCGCCTTGCAGCGGCACGCTCCTCAAAATACAGGCATCTGGCTTTTCCTCCACTTAGATTTCCGCTAAGGGTCGGTCTCCCCGAGAAGGCGTGCAGGTCCCGAGCATGTCTGTGACACACACACCCCCCCGCCCCAAGCGAGCCCCCCGCGGCCGTCGAGGCGGAGCGGGTGGTCGGCACTCACGACGATCGGGACCGTGAAGTTTTTATTCTGCCACCTCGAAGATCCGGGCAGACCTTTGTAAGAGGCAAGGGGAAGGGCAGACCTTTGTAAGAGGCAAGGGGAATAAGAGTGCTTTTCAGGGTTCTGTTTTCCTTTTTTTTGCTGGTTTTTTTTTTTCCCCTCCCCCCCCACGCCCCTCCCACCCCTCACAATGTCAGTTCCCTAATCTCCTCTTTTTTAAGTTGCAGAAGACCGGTGCGACGCCACAGGAGAAGTATCCGCTGTGCAGATTCAAGCCCCGAAGAGCTCTGCATAGCTAAAAGAAAAACCCGGTGATTTTATGCCTACATTTACTATTAGCCAAAACCAGAAACATCCTCGGATGAGAAAAAATAAACACAGATTTATCCCTGAATAGACAAGTCAGAGGTTCACTAAAATACCTTCATTTAGAGGCTTTTTTAGAGCCTCCCTTGCAAAGTTTCTGGGGCAAGTGAGGGTCCAACATTTGAGGCGATACCCTTGCTTGCCGGGACTAGTGGTGAACTCCCACCACACCATGGCTTTTGTACAGTGCGTGGTGAAAAGGGGCCCTTGGGACAGACAGACAATTTAAAACATATAAACATATAAACAAACAAACAAACAAATAAATAAAGTTTAAAAGAGTGGATTTTTAAAAGTCTGTTAAGTCTAAGAAATTAAGACTACCCCATACCCAAAAGATAAAGTATCTTCCAGTTTTCCTTCTGCTCTCTGACATTAATGATGGCCACACAGAGATAAATCCAAGGAGAAAACATCATTGGTTATGTCTTTTAGGTGTCTTAAAATTTCAAATAATGATGCATGGCAGGGTTGCAGGTTATTGCTGCCTAGCCTTGCTTTCTGCAAAATAGTATTGGTCATGGATTTTATGCATCTGTATGTATACATATAAGAATACACTTCATTTAGTAATATATATAACAGGTTGGACTCAATGACCTTAAAGATCTTTTCCAACCTAGTTAATTCTGTGGAGAAAAATAAAAATGCACATTCATATGTCAATATATTTTCAAGTGAAGATGTTACTTCAGATCAGAGGGCCTGTCTGTATTTCCATCTCCATCTCTATCTCCACTAAATTATGTTAAAAGCTAATAGTGTAAAACAACAAATACTGTCCCATTGTTGTGTCCCAACATTACTGACCCTCCAAATCTCATATCAAACTACTAGAACATTTTTAAGTCACAGCATTTTAAGTTACATTATTGAAATAATGTGATTTCTTCCCCCTCTAAAAGCAAATCTTATATTATACAATTCTAGTATACCTCAAATTAATCAAAACATAACAACACAGAGTCATATCTGAAGTTAGAGTAACAATAACACAGCCTAAGCTAGTGTAATTTGAAAAAGAACCTTGTATTGCACTTGTATCTCAGGGGGGAGGGAGGTGAATCACTTTTTCCCCCAAGCAAACCTAGCTGCAAAGATATTTTCACAAGAGTAAAAAAAATAAAAAAGGAATCATGTTAAGCAATGTCCCTATCCTACATTTCTGCTCTTACTTAATTTTAGAATCATTACTCAGCCATACAGATCTTTGACATTGAAAACAGATCAATTTTAAAGGACGGAAGACGTAGCCCTCAGCTAACAAGCGCAGCCATCTTACAGTACCCTGTTTAAGGTTTAGCAAGTTTTACCCTTTCAACAGCAACAACAACAAAATTCAAAACATTTACATTTTATCTAACAAGTATTTGGATATTAGATTCAGGGGTTAATTAAATACTATAAAGAGACAAACTATAAAGAACATAATATTGTGATTTCCTAGCTTGTAAACTGGCTAAAAGGGCACAAGACAGGCAGGGGTAGGCGGTGCAATGGTTGCATGGAAGTAACTTGCTCTATATCCAAGGTGAGGAGGAAACAGTTTTTCCAAGTTACACTAAAAATGAAGCAATACCCATGTATAGAAATAGTTTAACATTATTGTTCTTCTTTTCACTTTAAAATGTCAGAATATTTGCAAAGATATCTATCCTGATTACACACATTGGTTAAGAAGGAGAAAATCTATCACCTTAATTTTAGTCATTCTGAAGTTGTGCCCTGAGAAACCCTGAGATTTCTATTGAACTTAAAAATGATCAAAAATTGTACCAGACAAGCAAAGCCAAAACCAAACCACACACAAAAACTCAAACATAATTCAAAGAAACTGCATAATAACGAATAAATACTTCACTCAAATAAGAGTGTATCCTGCAATCAGAGATTATGTAAGGTTAAAAAGGACTTTCAGAGTATTACTGCCAATCCCACCCCACCACCCTTCCTCATCCAGCCTGGTCTCAGACAATTCTAGAGATGGGGTAGCCACAACTCCATTGTATGTTATTCTAGACAATTATAATTATCCATTAACGGACAGTTAAAATTTATCCATTATTAGGCAATGTATTTTTTGTAGGGTTTTTCGGTTTTGTTTTGTGGGGTTTTTTTTGGTGGGTTTTTAAATTTAAATTTTCTAAACACACATGTCTTACTCCATCTCAGGCCCTTCAAAATGAGATTTGTAGTCTAGAGATAACTGGCATTTTAGAAAAACCCTTCTCCCTGATTAAAAGCTCAGGGGAAGGGGATAAAAAAAAGTAGCAGCATTTACAGCAAGTGTGGAAATAGAGTGAGAAAATAATAGCCACACTTTCAGATCCGTGAGGGAGTTTTGTTCTTGTTACAGAGAATTTACTATGAGGTGATTAGCACCCTCATATTTATGCTTGTATTTTAGATTCATGCTTTTCAGATCGGACAGAGTATATAGTTTCTTTTCCCCCCATCCAGTGTAGAATGAAGAAACGAGGCCTACTACAAATGCAACAATAAATAAATAAATAAATAAATAAATAAATAAAGGCATTTGAAGTCAACAAGGAAAACTGTCTATAGTTTCTGATTTGTGTATAAGTTTTTATATGTGTGTGTGTCACTCTGTATAGCCCCACACTTTTTATTCAAATAGCACTGGAAGAAATCTAAACAGAGTGGAGCTGGGAAACTCTGAATTACTTTATCTCCACACCCTGAGTTCCACAGCTTGAAAGATTAAAAATTTTATACATCTATTCATACATGTATAAAATAAATTGTCTCTATTTTTGAACTCATTTTGAGGCAAATATTTTTACTTCTCTTCCACCTCTGTTCTTTTTCAGTCTGTGCTCTTTATTAGAGGAGGTGGTGGAATGGTCTAACAGCATGATCTAATAGCAAAATCCACCAAGAGGATTTTGCAGAACAATCAAATTCTCATCAGAATTAATATTCATTTTAGCTTCACAGTAAGTCTAATTATAATTATTATATTCTATGTGTGATAATCAGTGTCATGGTCCACAACAATCCGATTTTGCACTCTGCAATAAGGTAAAAGTCTCTGAAACTGCCCGAGCCTCGCATGTCTCTCAAGGTCCTTCATACGAGTGTATTTTTATTAACACTTTCTGACCCTGATCGGCCACTTTGACCCTTATTTCTCCTATTGTCTTAATGGTAAGGGAAGGAGAAGTAGGCCACTGTATTTCACTGTCGTTTACAAGAGTGGAAAGTAATACACGATCGGAAAACAGTGGCCATTTTCTCTCTTCAGAGCAATAACTATGCTTTTTGTTTGCGAGAAACTGTCTGGAAATGATGGTAAGGAGTGGTGGGTTTATATTTTCGTAATAAACTATACAGAAAACTTCCCAAAAAGTGAGAGGCAATGCAGAAATAATAACTGCAGTAAGGTTTCAAGAACCGGACATTTTCTACTGCGTTTAAAAAAAAAAAAAAAAAACAAAAAACAAAAAACAAAAAACCAAACCCCACAAACCCAACCAAACAACGCCAAACAGAAACACGCAGCCTGTAGAAATCTGTGTTCCTGGTGCCATCTGAGCATGTGGCGCGGAAGGGTCCCTACGGAGCTGCCACCGGCGGCGGCCCGGCGCCTCCCGCTCCCGCCGCTCCCGCCGCCCCCGAGCAGCCCCGCTCCCGGAGTCCTACCTGGGCCGGGGGCTCCCGCGGCGCCTCCGCCGCAGGACCAGCTGCAGGGCGAGGCGCCGCGGCCAGCGCAACCCCAGCGCCCCGAAAACGCGGCGGAGGATGCGCCAGCCCAGCGCCCAGGCCCGGGGCAGGCTGCGAGGGCGCCGAAAGTGGATAGTGCACCTTATCCGGGGGGGCATGGGTGCGGAGAAGCCGCGGGCTCGTCGCGGTACAAATACCTCCCCAGCAGGGCCCCGCCGGTGAATCGGCCCTCTCACCCTCCATTCATTGGAGAGGATTTTCTTTCTTTTTTTTTTTTTTTTTCTTTTTTTTTTCTCTTTTTTTTTCTTTTCCGTTTAACTCGTTTCGACTCCCCATTTCACTTCACCTCCCTCTGCTCCCCCCTCCTCCGCTACACCCCTCTCTAAACTCCTCCCATGATGATGGCTCCCTGCTCGAAAAGCGGGCGAAGGAAAATTGGCGGCGGGGGATGGGGACGGGGGGGATCGTCGTGTTCTCTGCCCTCCCACTGTCTGGTCCCGGGGAGCACCGCCGCCAGACGGGCGTGGAGAGCGGCCAATCGCAGGGCGCTCCCCTGCTTTCAAATAAAGCCTTGACGACAACTCCTTGCCCCCCCTTCCCCCCCACCCCGCTCTGCCCCTCCAAACACGCCGCCTCCCGCTCCGTCTGGGGACTCGTTTGGGCTTTTTTCTTGCTCTTCGGTTGCTCTCGGACCTCATTCCCCCCGGGAAAACCCCGACGGGAAGGGGGCCTGCGGCGGCCCGCAGCGCTGCGCTGGCACTTTGAGAGCCGGCTAGCGGATCGCTGACGCTTTAAAAGCGCGGGCCAGCGTTGGCCCGGGCGAGAAGCATTTCTCGTCACATGGCCATTTGAACGGGACGCGGGAGCGCTGCGTAGCGAAGCGGCGGGGGTGGGGGGGGGGAGAGAAAAGGAAAGAGGATCTCGATTGCCCCGCGCTGGTCGCCGAAACGGGTAATGAACGGCTCCCCGCCCAGCCCCCGGGCCTTCTCCCAGCCGGGCTCCGCGCTGTGGGACCTCTTCGCTTTCCTTTTGAAAGGCGAGGCTTTAGAGGGGAGCGGGGGAGCAGCGGAGGGCCGCTCAGAAGCCCCAGTCAACCTGCTGGCGCTCTCCTGCCGTCCTGGCTCTCAGCCAGTGCTGAGCCAGCTCTGCCGCCGAGCGCAGCATCCCTGGGCGGTGAAGTGGGTTACTGCTACCTCCCCGTCCCAGCCCCCACCCCAAAAATCCTACCTGCTCTGCCTCCTCCCGGGTGCGGGGTACCTCTGTGAGAGGGGTGAGAAGAAGGATGGGCAGGCAGAGCGTCGTTTTTGCTGGCACGTCTTTATCCTCCCCGGGCGCTGCGGGGCCCGGCTCGGCTGGAGGCAGCTGGGAGAGAGGGTCAGGGCAGCTCCGGGACTGGGGGAGCCGAGGGAAAAGCACCGGGAGGGGACGCAGAGAGTAGTAGAAGTAGTCCTTGGGAGGGAGCCAGTAATTGTTTCTTTTCAAGTCCAATTTCAAGCCTGGGAAACTGGGTGAGTAAAATCGGCCATTTCGAAATGAAACCACCTTTCGAGAGAAGCTTTATTATTTTTTTTTTTTCTTCTCCCCCTCCCCCCCCTCCCTTCC